AGCCTAATAATCATGAAGGCTATTGCATACTCCAGAGTGTTGCCATGTTAAAAGTGTAATGTACCTAGACTTGCCATAAATACTGTTACAAGGTTTTTTTGTAATAACTATGTTAATATAAAACACATGCTGTATTCGCTAATATCATTTATCTCCCTACATAATTACTAACAAGTTACAGAAACATTATTCAAAATGTCCACCCCTGGCCTTCACACATGACTTTAAACGATCAAGCCACTCATCGATCGCTGTATGCACCATGTCTATTGAGGTATTGGCTGCTGATTTTGCAAAGGGGTTGCTTGAGAATTTCAATATTTGGATGTCTTCAGTGGCAGGCCATCAGCTCAAACTCTGCCCGCAGTTTGTAGTTCAGTGGATTCAAGTCAGGGCTCCCAGATGGCCAATCTGAGGCCTCGATAAACTCGGGGACATTGTTGGTTAGCCACTCCTACATTATCTTAGCCTTTTGAGCAGGTGCAGAGTCTTGCTGGAAGATCCAGTTACCCCCATTGAACATTGTTTGGCTGAAAGGCTCCACTTTCTTCTGTAAGATGTCTTCCTGGTACACCTTGGCAGATGTCTTCACTCCTTGCTCGCAAAAATGCAGCTTGGTGACACCCTCAAAGCTCACCCCCACCAAACCATGAACCATGACGAAAGCATGATGGTGACTTCTCTCTCCATCTTCTTGATGACTTAGGCAGCTACCCAAGAGTTGTGGGCATACACTTGATCATTTTGCCTGTTGAATTTTTCTTCAAATGTGAAGAATTTCTCACCAGTAAAGAGGATTTTGTTTTGTCTGTTTTGCACATACCTCTGCAGCAACACTTTCAATCACGACCTCCAGATTTCTTTCAGAAATGAAGTCAGCATGTGTCCTGTGCTTCTTTGGTAAGCACCCATCCTTAGATCTGATTTAATCAACTGAGGCATGCTTCTAGTCGAGGTGGCCATTTCCCTGGCCATTACTTTCTGCTTGTGGAGAGGATTTTGCTGAATCCTGTTGATGATTCATGGTGTTCTGGCAGTGTGTGAACGTCCTGATCTAGAGTGGTCTTGTACTCCCTGAGAATTATTGTAACATTTGGTAGCTAGCTTGGCAAACAAACTGCCAACTGATTCCATTTGACTGCAAAGTCTTGAAAATGGTTGCAGGTTTCTGACACACTTCATGCAGGGCAATCACTGCTATGCGACTCTCTTTGGTACCCCACTCCATGTTTACTGCATGCAACACAACTGCCAAAAATTTTCCAAACAATATAGTGGATAGTACACTATAGGATTACTAAGTTACAATATTCTAACTTCTTCTGCTAGAATGCTTGGAATATGTAAATATTGCAACAGTTTTTATGGCAGAACTAGGTATGTTCTTTTCAAGGATTTTAACCTCTGAGTGCATACAATACAGGATTTTACAAAAGTAATTTAGTCTTAAAAGAGAGGGCTCACTCAAAGTCTGAGCAATGTGTTTGGAATAGAGGAAAATGAGCATGCATTTCGGATGCATTTTGGGGCTTGGGTTTGCCTGACTTTTTAGTCAATGATATAATTGGTGACACATGTTGGCTTTACATGTCAGCTAGGTTGAATTCAAAGCTGGTTCCCCCACAAAAATTTCCTCACTTCCTACTATGATATATCTCTCATTTTATAAGGTGTGTGTCATGTGTTTCCTGTCTTGACAGTGAAACAAGTTTATAAACAACCATACAAGCAAGCGAGTTTAGAAAGTTTGCATCATTCTAAGCTTGAATAAATTTTTTTAATATCACACAGTGACATATTCTAATCGCATAATGGGGTACATCCAAGTTGCCATGAAATTGGTTTGGACTCATGTCTTGCAATTCGAAGATTCCACATATTCCACATGTCAGTCAGATTTTGATTCCAAATACTGCCATATCTCAGGTTGTGTTCTGTAATCTTATTTGAATAGGACAAAATGATTTCCTTAATGTTTTCCATTCCCACTCCAGGAAAACACCTTGCACTGTAAAGTGAAAAATAGAGAAGTCAGATTATTAGCTTGCTCATGTATTCCAATTTCGAAGTAAAACTTAGGCAATTTATACTTATTCTTGGAAGTCTGGGAATCTGAAAATAAATATAATTCCTTATTTGGTTATTTGGCCAAGTCATGCCCATAATTTTAAGCATTTGTATGATTAGGAGGTTACCATTCAGCTCATTACCGCAAACAACAATTTCAGCTTAACAGGATTGTGGGTGAAAGAGGCCCAGGAACATCTTTCCTTGTTCTTGAACCTGGACAACTGACAAACTCAGCAGATGGAATGCTGAACTTCTGGTGAAACATAGTTACTCCACTTTGTATAAGATGTACTGATCACCCTGAATTAAGGAACTACATTCAGTGAATTCAGGGGTGGTATGTGGCAACAGTATTGGCAACATCAGACCCAAGGACTCTTAATCAGAGGTAGCTACTTGACCCAAAGGCTGTTCACATCCCATCAGATTGAAGTTTACTGACCATTGTACATTTACTGCAAAACCATATGCAGCATATAGGTTGCATGACTATAAAAATGCCCAGATGCATCTGGGTTACATATTGGAATATTATTGCTTATGCTCAACAATACAATTAGCACTTCAACTAAACAGCATCATTTCTTCTTAATTCATATGGCTTCAACATCCTTCCATATGACCCCAAATTTCATGGAAACAAAATCTTCTACAGTTTTAGTAATCACAGATTTCAAGATTTGTTGTATTGGAAAATGGTCAGATACTTAAATTTCCAAATCCATTTAAAATCAAATGCACCAATTTCTCCTTATTCTTCCAAATCGATCTGCACTGCAAACCACTGCTTCAATCTCAGCTCAGTCCATGAATTCCGAACAATGATTTATCCTACATAAAAAATAGAATATCCAGACAACAGTACTAATGCTGAAGAAGTCATGAATCTGGGATAATGAAGGCACGTTATCCGGCAACACTGGAGGATGAAACTGGAGCCAGGCTAAGCCTAAATTAATGGCATCTAATTTTATTTTTCATGGTGAAATGGTGCTATGGAAGCAACTAATTAACTTTTTGTCACCTACAAGTCAGTATCTTTCGTTTGGTTTGTCTCTTTCCTCTAGAAACTTAAGGAACGGTTAAAGGAGAAAAAAATACCAGAACGAAATTCCCATCTTGCAAAACTGAGAATCAGTCATCTCCACAACACTATGGAAATGCAGCTCCCAATTTGCTGGAGCAATGCTGTGTTGACAGAAAAAGGACTATACCAGATTTTCTTCCTGTTTATTCTCTCAAAGTGGAATACGAGATGGTTGAATTTTTCCCCCAGAATGGGTTGAAGAGAGGTAATGGGCTCTACCATGTCTATTGATGTGTCTCAAACTTTGAATTCAAATCAATTTTGATGAAGACAAGCAAAGGAGTCCAAGACAGGCAGTGCTGAATTCTATTATCCTAAACTTAAAGCGCATGAAGTTTTTTAAATGCAAACCAACTAAAATGGCATACACCTGTAAGGACAGAAGCAGCAGGATGCATAGTTCTACATGTTAATTACCTGATCCTGAGCTATAAACTGGGTAAAACTGTTAAAACCATACTGTGGTATCTGTAGATCATGTCATGGTAAAAATCATCTGAATTGCTTGGCTTCCAATGTTACAGACATACAAGAAAGATTGATTGGCTCATGCAAAACATACCATTTTCCAACCAAGGGTCTGACATATCCAAGTACAGCACAGTACCGCATTCTGATTGAAAACTGTTTTCAAGTGTTAACCAATGTGGCTACAGAGACTTAGGACCTAGGAGCACTGCCTTAACCTTTAGTTTGGATCAATAGTATAGATCTATTATGGCACCACTGTGGAAAGGTTACTCGAGCCATTCTAGGGGATTATGAATTTGTGACAAAAGTGATTATCATCTCCTTTCCTTGCATTTTAAGTGATGTGCAAGATATTCTATCTCTTTGTGCCACTTTCCATTTTTTGTAATGAGTTCAGTGTGTTATCATGTCCATATTTTAACATACTATTCAGCATGTTTGTTGATGAAGAACCATATGTCCAGATAATTTTGTATAAGTACATTTCATACATACAGATTATGAATATCAAACATTTGCAACTTTCATTGTTAGTTATGTGCCCTGCTTCTTTTTACCTAAAGTAGACTTTGTAATTTATTTCTACCTATGATAGAGTTGTTCATCCCAGTTTAGCATTGACAGGCCAGGTTTTAATTTTTTATATTTAATATTATAGTTTGAATGTTCGAAGTATGTCTCTGTAAGTGTTTTAGGAGGGAATTTTAATGTAATAGTCATTATCAATGTTAATCAGATGCTGGAAATTCACATTGGATTGTATAGGTGCTGGAGAGACATGGTTGTTTCTCATCCCTCATATCCATATGCACTCAGACCTGCAACTTGGAGTAGAGGAATGATAATTGAGACATTGTGTTGTTATGTAATTTTGATCCCCAGCAGCATCCTTCCATTCTGTAAAAATATATTAAGAATTATGTCTATTTCTCTTAGTGAACTCAACCTTGCTCATTTTAGCTAAAGACTCAATTTCTCATTTGCTGTGAGATTCACACTGTTCCTTATCTCTGGTTCAAGAGCCCTCTCAAATGAAATCCATGTCCCATTTTCAATTTGGCAAATGTGTCATGTTTGCTGTCAAGCTTGTTTGGTGATTGATGGGGTTCAAAAGGGTTGAGTTCTATTGGTGTATCATTACTCACCCATGATCTGACAGTTCCCTCCCTGCATAATATTTCACCCATGGCCACACACTGGAGGCAACAATGGGGTTCAAAAGGGTTGAGTTCTATTGGTGTATCATTACTCACCCGTGATCTGACAGTTCCCTCCCTGTATAATATTTCACCCATGGCCACACACTGGAGGCAACACACCGTAGGACCTCATTTGTGGTTTTTATGAGTGCAGTGGGGGGTAATTGGGAAAAATGAGCTTTGATGCACTGCATCACCTTGTCCCACCTGGTGCCATGCTGATGAAACAGAACACACAGCCCTAATTTAATGATGCAAATATTGTGATTTGTCATTGCAGAGTCGACATTCCAAGTGACCCTGGAAAAGACGGCCCAAGGCCCGGGGGTGAGCGTGACTGGGGGGAGGGAGGCGAGGAACCACCGCTTGAGAGGATTTGCCTGGATCAAGAAGGTATTTCCAATGACCCTGGCATGGGAGCAGGGGATCCTTGCCCTTGGTGACACCATCCTCAAGGCTAATGAAATCCCATTGATTTGGCTCACAGTTTCTGTTAGATTTTGATGCTGGCATTCATTCCTACCTGATGTCATTTGCATGAATGTAATGTGTAGCTTTGATTTTCAGCTTTAAGTTGTTTAAACTTGTAGGTTTTGTGTTGAAGTTTGACCAGTACACCATGGCAATACTGGATTGTGTAGCATAGCTTAGTTTCCTTAATTTATCCTACAATTAATTTTACAAGGTGGTTGTTCATTTTAAACATTCTCTATTGTCTAACATGTCCCACTTGGGACCTCATTGCATGCATTTTTGCAGTCACAGGTAAAGTGCTGGTTACACGAAAATAATTCCAAGAATTCATTTTCACGTCTTACCCATCATTTTTATTCTATTACCCCGATGCCTTAAATATGATATGCTGGATTCTTGGAATCCAGCATATCATATTTTTTCTGAGCCTTCTCAAAAGACTAGAGATATCTTAAAAATGCATGTAAACAGTATGGAGTAGAAAATGAGATTTGTTTGGCCTTCGCCTGTAGGAAGCCCTTGAGATCTGGAGAACGGCCCCATAGCAGACAACGCTGATGGTGTATTGCCTTCCATATCACTTTTCTCCACTTTTGTCATCAAGTGAGACAGATCCCTTGTCACTCTCTCTGAGTCAGAAGCAGTCTCCATCGGGTCTCCTCGCCGTTTGGGGTGAGTTCCTTTGATTTTCATTTACTCATAATATCAAGAAAATACTAATTTAAAGGAACTCAGCAACCTACTTGAAAGCATTGGGTGCTTAGGGGAAACAAAGAAGTATTTTCCTGGTTTTGATTAATTGGTGGTCTTTCCTACTAGCCTTTGTCCATATTTTTATATATTTTAAACCATATAATGTTTCATAAAAAGTTAGGACTTGACTCCTGTTGAATTGCAAAGATGTAACATTTTTTATTCCCATTCTTTCAGTTCCTTTTGCTAGCCAACGAATTGTTTTATGGAGTGTTCTCCACTGTGTAATGAACTCTTTTTTAATGGCAACTGATGAGATTGTGGCAATTCTTTGAACAGGTTTTTGAGCTTGGGGAACTTTGGAGTTTTACTGTAAAGTAAACTTATGTGAGGTTGGATGCCCATTGCCATCATTAGACACATAAACTGGAGCAGAGATTGGCTGCATCATGTCCTTAAAAAATCTGCCTTTTCTCCCTTGAAGGATGCAGGAAACTAACCTTTGCTAGAAATTGCAAATCATCTCCATGGATAGATTATATCCCTATGATTTTTTTAGTTTCCTGAAAGAGATTAGAACTGGCATCACTGCATTTTCTTGGAACAGGTATAAGAAAGGTGGCATGCTTGATGCCATCACCCAACTCATGTCTCAGTCATGGAGAGAGATTTGATCAATCCATGTAATATGGTAACTTTTGTTATGGTGCCAGAAGCACCTGTTCCATTCCTTGGAAAAGAGACAAGAGAATCTGGAACTTGGCTGCTTCCCCATCCACCCATGTTCCTCTATTGTTGGGGGGGGGGGGAGGCCTTGAAAGGCCTACATGGCCAATGGGCCTACATGTTTGTCATTCAGTGAAGTTTTCCCTCAGCTGTGGTGCATCAAGTTGTCTTGATCAAGGTGAAGATAGAAGCCTCTAAAACCAATCCATGTAAGGTTTTTCACATTAATGAAAAAGTTCACAAGTGAACTAATATGTGTTCAAATGGCACGCTGCAAAGCTATGAGAATGCTTTAGACAATTGCTGAAATAAACAGAGAATTTGCTATCAACCAGGAGAATCAGCTGTTGACCGAAATTAGAAGCCATTATTGTGGACAATTTTAAATGTATATTGCAGAGAACATGGTCTACATGCAGCTTTATTCTCCAATTTAATGCTTTCTTTCATTTTTATGATGAAATTCGTGAGTCATCGTCTTTCTATCAATGAATAGAAGAATTTTCTGTCTCATTTGGTATAAGTACTAATTTTGCAGAGAATATTGAGGTCTAGAAATACAATACATGGATATATTATTTTTGGAAATATAGAAATAGGCACTTGTGAATGCTTGGGACTTGAAGGATTTGCCTAACTTGAGCAGCTATGCCATTTTGGTCTAATTCATCTATCAGGACATCCCTCTTTCAGCCTGTGCATATGATGATTGAAGTGGCTCGTGTGAATTTTTCAGGAAAGAAGCCTGTGACATGTTAAGCAGTCTGGCAGCGCAGAGAAGTGATTCACCTAGTGAATCAAGGCCTACATGGCCAATGGGCCTACATGTTTGTCATTCAATGAAGTTTTCCCTCAGCTGTGGTGCATCAAGTTGTCTTGATCAAGGTGAAGATAGAAGCCTCTAAAACCAATCCATGTAAGGTTTTTTCACATTAATGAAAAAGTTCAGAAGTGAACCTATATGTGTTCAAGTGGCACACTGCAAAGCTATGAGAATGCTTTAGACAATTGCTGAAATAAACAAAGAATTTGCTATCAACCAGGAGAATCAGCTGTTGACCGAAATTAGAAGCCATTATTGTGGACAATTTTAAATGTATATTGCAGAGAACATGGTCTACATGCAGCTTTATTCTCCAGTTTAATGCCTTCTTTCATTTTTATGATGAAATTCATGAGTCATCATCTTTCTATGAATGACGAAAATTCTTCTATGAATAGAAGAATTTTCTGTCTCATTTGGTATAAGTACTAATTTTGCAGAGAATATTGAGGTTTAGAAATACAATGCTTGGATATATTATTTTTGGAAATATAGAAATAGGCACTTGTGAATGCTTGGGACTTGAAGGATTTGCCTAACTTGAGCAGCTATGCCATTTTGGTCTAATTCATCAATCAGGACATCCCTCTTTCAGCCTGTGCATATGATGATTGAAGTGGCTCGTGTGAATTTTTCAGGAAAGAAGCCTGTGACATGTTAAGCAGTCTGGCAGCGCAGAGAAGTGATTCACCTAGTGAATCTGGGACACGGTCTCGCAAGGGGATGCCGACTCATTCGTGGATTTTCATCTAATCAGGACGATGATGGCGGGTCCTTCTGTCCTTTGCCGACAAGAAGACGCTGAGCTCCACCCATGCACAGAGGTGAGCTTGGTGCACCAGTGTGAATTGTGAAATGAAGTTGAGGGAGATATTCTGTGGAACTGCAATAAGATGCTGAATATTGAAGTCAAAATTTCAGCCAATCTGAAAGAGATATACTTTTGAATGCAAATGACTTGTTCTGGATTAAGCCAGTTAACTTCCCTAAATTGGTTCAAAATGAGCAAACCTGCTTATTCTTCTGATATTGTATAATTAGTTCAGGGTGGCAACCCTGACACCCAAGATGGCGGACGCGTATTTTCCATGCGCCCGGTAACAACCAGGTTTTTGCTAGTCATCCGCTTTTCCAGTAAGTGAATAGCATGGGTATTAGCCTAACTCAATGGAGGAGAGAAGACGCTGAGCTCCACCCATGCACAGAGGTGAGCTTGGTGCACCAGTGTGAATTGTGAAATGAAGTTGAGGGAGATATTCTGTGGAACTGCAATAAGATGCTGAATATTGAAGTCAAAATTTCAGGCAATCTGAAAGAGATATACTTATGAATGCAAATGACTTGTTCTGGATTAAGCCAGTTAGCTTCCCTAAATTGGTTCAAAATGAGCAAACCTGCTTATTCTTCTGATGTTGTATAATTAGTTCAGAGCAATAGGACTCCTCATGTTTTTTTGTCCTGGTCAAATTTGGTAATGAGGAAATCATTAAATTCTGAGTGTTCAACTTTTCTTTTTCCATGTCTAGCAATTACCAGTTGTGGTATTTAATTTTCTTGGCAGATGCAAGCACAGACAGCCCAACACCAGAGATGTTTGGTTCTCCACCTCACCCAACAAGCCTTGACCTGGCATCCCTTTCTTCGTGGTCATCCAGCCTTTGCCGGCAGCAGTTCATCGTTCCATCCCTGGTCCTTGGTGACAGCCCAGATCAAAGCCTTGCCTCTTTGCCACCAGAGATTGAGCCTGCTAAGAAGTTTCAACGAAACCATGAGTACATGTCGGCCAACTGGAACGAGAGGAGCCGAGGGGGTAAGACCAGTGATGGGGATATGGGACTCCTCAAGTGGAGAGGGACTGTCTTCAATGAACCTGATGATCACAATGACAGGCCCAATGATGCTGAAGAAGATGTAGCTGAGATAGGGATCTCTCCCAGTGGTTAGGTAATGCCCTTGCATTCTCTCTGTTGTCCACACTTCTAGAATTTTAACTACTCAATGGAGAATTTGTTAAAGGAAAAGTTCTCTTTTATAAATGAGGAATTTCAAAGTGACTTCTTTGTAAGGCTTTGCCAAACCAGTTGGGGAATAATTATGAAAGCCACTGACAAAAGAATTGAAACATTTTGGGATGGAAATCATGAAATAATTTTCAAGAGTTACCCATGACAGTGCAGCCCTGCTTTGAATTATGAGCAATCTTTCAGACAAAGAGTCGCTGTATAGATGTAATTACTGTATTTAGTCGCATATAAGGCGCTTTTTTCATGCTTTATTGTGTTCCATGAGGGGGTGCATCTTATACTCAAGGAAAAAATTTTGCTTTTTCGAGAAAAAAATTTTTCAATGTACCTATAACTCATTGATCACTAATTTGGGGCAGAAACTGTCTGCAGTCAGTCAGAACAGGAGAAATATAATAATTATAAAACAGTAAACAGGGAGTGGCTACGTTGATTCGCGGACTTCATTCAGTATCGGAATCGGAATCTGAGGTGTCTGGCAGCGTGGAAAATTGATTCGTAGAAGCTGACATCCTCCTCCAAGGGGCCATTCCAGAGACAATAATTTCTCATGGAAAGCTGCTGACGTTTTCTGATGAACAGAAAATCCAACTTGCTCATGAATCGCGTCGTTCAACCTCATGATGCGTTGAATTTTCAATGGGAGATCCCGTTTGCTCTCGAAATTGTATGCGTGCACGTCTCCATCACTCTCAGTCACTCCCTTCTTTACCAGAAATGATTCCTTTTTCCCCACGAAAGGCCATGAGATTCTTTAGAGCCTGGCTTAATTTCGCCTTTGCCTCCATATACAGCTTTCCTCGATGTCATACTTATGACCTATTGCACGGATGCCCAACTCCTTCGCTTCCTGAATCACATGGAGTTCTCTGCAGCTTTGTTATTTCGCCATATATTTCCATCCGTTTTCACAGATAATAAAACAAACGTTAGGGATACTGTGCCCCCCCTTGATAAAGGTCAGGACAGTGAATAAGAAACGAGGTTCGACCTACCTCAAGACCGGCTTTACCCCTCATTCGTCTCCCTTGTCCGACACTTTTCGCTCCAAAATAGGGGGGTGCGCCTTATACGTGGGGAATCTTTTTTTACACAAATTGGGACCTCAAAAGCAGGGGTGCGTCTTATACACTGTGGTGCACTATACTGGAGTAAATACGGTACTTATGATGACTCTCTAGAACCCTGACTTTGCTGGCAACCCCTTATTGAAAAGAGAATGACCTGGTCCAATGCTGGTCACATTGGTAACATTACTGGATGGATAAAGAAAGCTGTTATAGTGAATGTCAAGGTCATTGTACATCCGACTGAGTAGACCACGGAAAGACAAAAACAACCGTCTACAAAGTCCACCTTGACGTGGTACCGACCTTGTCATCCGACCCCAAACCCCAAATCATAACCGTTCTGGTAGGGACTTTGAAGTACCAGGACCTGTGTCTCGGCTGTCCATCCTGACAGCGTCGCTGCCCATGAAGGATGCATTGCTGTCAGGGACTACCTCCTTGAGGTCCAAATCATTCTAATTTTGTCAACTAATTTGCCGGCTACAGCTCTTGTAATTGTCTTACTTTTGACTTTTGGCTGCTATCTCAATGAAGAGCAGTTTGACTAAATTGTCATTGAAGTTACCATGGGCCTTTGTCCTATGTGTGTATGAAATTGGCTGCACTTGCTTTTTGGCATTTTAGGAATCATTTCTGAACTGTGTTCCTTGTATTACGACACACTTATAAAACAGTCGTACTCTGTAGTTGAATATATAAGTTTAATTGTCCGAGTTACAACCGACGAAGCTAAAAAGGTATAAGATACCCTACAACTCTAACTTTTTAGTCTTGAACAGCTAACAGCTATATTTAAAATGAGAACTCATCAAATATTAAGCTAGCCACTGCATGCTGCATTCAAAATGTCCAGTCCAATATATATGATTATTTGTTGTGGCAGGTACAATATATGGATAATTTCATTGCATTCCATGCCAATTCACAGTGAGGATTCCAGTAGTGGCTTGAGCTAGGCAGTTCATGCTTATAGTGAATAATTATTCATTATTCAAATGCTTCTGTGATGTCTAAGTTTCAAAATAATTGGAAGAGCAGCAGTGGCACTCTTACTCAACCCTTGCATGTAGATTGATCATTGCCACCATTCCCCCAATGCTCAAATTTTGATGCACACCACAGGTCAATGGAGAGGACGTATCCGGGCAGGAGACGGAAGCTGTGATAGGTCTGTTGCATAAGCTGAGGGGCCACATCCACATGGTGCTCTACCGACTGCAGACAGGCCTTCACTTCGTGACCTTTTGCACCTCTGCCTTCCACTGTGTCTCGTCCGCGATGAAAATTGGGATAGTCTTCCTCCTGTTCTCCAAGATCTAGAGGCAGATCTTGCGAGCATGTGCCATCGAAGCTATGAACAGTTAAGGGGATGCCAGTGGAAGGGTACAAGTGATCTGTGCTGCTTTTTCCCTACTATGCAGCCTTGCTGAAGAGTCCCACTTCACAATTAATTGAGGATAATAATGTGTATGAGTTCCTTTCAGGAAGCAAGGCACTCTTCCTCAGATACAACTGATATCCTACAGGCTGATATATGGGTAGATGAGTTGGAAACCGAGGACTAGATTCACAAGAAACTCATAAGCTCTTCTCAGTGACTTCCCAACCCTTCTCTTGCAATATTCTTAACACATTGACCAGTACGAGATGTCTCGTATTATATTTCCATGTCATACCCATATAACAAGCCATGATAGAGTACTGAATCTTATTAGTTTCTTTCATTTTTTCGAATTTCTGTGACTGAGAGAAAAAAATTGAGAGATTTGATGTTAATATCTTTATTTTAAATTTTTATTTCTGTGGCGTGTGAATAAAAAAAAGTGGCAGTCCATCTGTTAAATACATGTGGTACCTACAGATGTCCGTCCGATCGACCCCGAATAAGACCTCTAAAGCTCAACCTTGCCACCTCCAAAAACATCGAGATCAACCAGATCATCAGCTCCTGCTACCTTGTAGACGGCGATCTGATTGAGCCGAACCACCGTGCCTTCGCAGCTGCCATTACCATCCATCAGAAATGGCAAGGACCAGAAAAGCCGACCCCGAAATCTGGGAAGGGCCCTTCCTCGATTCCACCTCGGAAGAGGCGCCTCCAAAGTCGGATCGATGCAGCAAGGCAAGACCTTAGCACCCTTCAAGAGATCAAAAAGGGGATCACATCCTGGAAAGTGAAACTGACCTACAGGCAGCTGTCCCCCAAGTACAAGATCACCTCTGAAGCCGATCTCCCGACCGCCATAGAGAACGTGAAGATGAAGATCCAAGTTTGGGTCCTCAGGATAAGGCGGTACACGAAAAGGGTCAATTACTTCCGGCATAACGAGCGCTTCACAAACAACCAGAAGCTATTCTATCCGGAACTGGGAGTGAAATCCATAGAAGTGAAAAAGATCCCTGGCAAGGCACAACTGGAAGAATTCTGGTCAAAGATCATGGAGTACCCGGTGAGCCACAACGTCAATGCCATATGGCTCCAACTTCAGAGGGAGTCACCAGACATTCCCGAAATGAGTGACCGCCAGATTACAGCATCTGATTTGAAGAAGGCGCTCAAACAAACAGCGAACTCCGGGGCACGACCGTCATCCGAACTTCTGGCTGAAGCAGTTGACATTGCTACATGAACAACTCGTCAGAGAAATGCAGAAAGTAGTGACGAACCCCTCGGCGATGCCGGACTGGCTAACCGCAGGAGTCACCTACCTACTGCCGAAAAACGCCGAAACCGAGCTACCTCGGAATTACAGGCCTATCATCTGCCAGCCAACCATCTACAAAGTCCTATCTTCCATCCTAGCAGCACGAATCGAACCGAACGATACATTTCGGACAACAACATCATGCCGGAAAGGATCTTACGGCTGCAAGGAATTAAAGGAATAAAGGACGTTAATTTTATATCACCGTTTACATATCACAGTGGTGACATTTCTGCACACATGTTGACATTTTCTTGACAATAGTTTGCGTAAAAATGATATAAAATGGACAAAAAATTTACGTACATTTTACGTAAAATTAACATAAACATGCTGTTTGGGCTGACCTCAACTACAGCTTCGGAGTTATCGATTGGTCACCTACGGAACTCCAGGCCATCGATTGAGCGACCAGAAAACTCCTGACCATGCATCACACACACCATCTGAAGGCTGCCGTTGAAAGGCTCTACCTTCCGAGATGCAAGGGAGGAAGGGGACTCATCGAACTCGAGTCCCTCTATAAGCGGACGACGTGCGAAGTCGCCAGATACATTGAAAGGAAGCAGGGAAGACTCATTTCCATCCTGAGAGAGCGAGATGCTCTGAAGAAGTCCCACTCCATCCAGGGAGATGCCACCCACTTCCGAAACGCACTCCATCGCCATGACTGGGACACGAGTGATGTGAAGACGGCAGATCCAGGACAAAGAGAAATACGATGGGAGGAGAAACCGCTTCACGGCCAGCATCCCAAGATCATGGATAAACTATCGATCGACTCAGACATCAACTATATCAACTATAACTGGCTGAAGAAGGGACTGCTGAATGCCGAGACAGAGAGCAACATCCTAACCATTCAGGACCAGTTCATTAGAACTCGTAACTACGAGAAGCATATCCTGAAGCTGGATGTGTAAGACCGCTGCAGATGCTGTCATGGACGACCGGAAACGGTTCACCACCTCCTCAGTGCCTGCCCTGAACTAGCCCCGAGGGAGTACTTGTATAGGCACGACCAAGTGTGCAAATATGTGCACTGGTGTGTCTCAAAGCAAGCTGGACTGGAAGTCCCAGAGAAGTAGTACGAACACCAGCCAGAGTCTGTTGTGGAGAACGCCTCCACCAAGATACTATGGGACATGCCTATAATTACAGACCGCAGTATAGGCTGCAATAGGCCGGACCTTACGATCTATGAGAAGGAGAAGAAGACCGCCCTCCTCGTAGATGTGAGCATCCCAGCCGATAATAACCAGGACCACCCGAAACGGTTCACTACCTCCTTAGTGCCTGCCCCGAACTAGCCCCGAGGGAGTACTTGTACAGGCACGACCAGGTGTGCAAATATGTGCACTGGTGTGTCTCCAAGCAAGCTGGCCTGGAAGTCCCAGAGAAATGGTACGAACACCAGTCAGTATCTTTTGCGGAGAACTCCTCCACCAAGATACTATGAGACATGCCTATAATTACAGACCGCACTATAGGCTGCAATAGGCCAGACCTTACGATCTATAAGAAGGAGAAGAAGACCGCCCTCCTCGTAGATGTGAGCATCCCAGCTGATAACAACCTCCAAGAGAAGACCAGGGAGAAGCTGGAGAAATACTCCGAATTGAAAGTGGAAGTAGAACAGTTGTGCGGAATGAGGACCACCATAGCTCCGATCATCATAGGCACAAAACCTCCAAGAGAAGACCAGGGAGAAGCTGGAGAAATACTCCGAACTGAGAGTGGAAGTGGAACAGTTGTGCGGAATGAAGACCACCATAGTTCCGATCATCATAGGCACAACTGGCGTCGTCCTGAAAGACCTCAAAGGACATGTCAGGAAGCTGGAGTGTGAAATCTCACTCGATATCCTCCAGCGTACAGCAATCTTGGGCACGGCCAGCATCCTTCGCCGTGTCCTTCAGAATTAGGCGAGTATGAGGTCTGGCATGTGGTTCATCCCCCCTCATATCTCCAAAATACCGGCAGGTGCCGTGGAAGGATTTATTTATATATATATATCAATATATAAAAAAGCTAGTAGATCTTAAATAAAGATGAACAACATCAAATCCCGTTATTGTTATGAGAGTTTCGGTGTTCTGCCTGCTAAGTTTCGTTATGGTGGCGTGAATCGGGAATATTTGAATGTACTCACACGGAATTAGGAATGGTTGTCCGATAAGCTACACAAACCTATTTTTAAAATCGGAAATAAAAATGAGATTGTCATGAACTTAACGATCGGTGATTCCTAACATCTGTTGTCCTCTGAAGAAACAGTAAATAATGAACGGCATTAGTGCGCATTCGCCGCCTAGCACTTTGTTAGTTGTTTTGTTGTGGTCACAGTGAACATGGAACTGATTGAACTTGTGCTTCAACGAAGTCTTATTGAGCGATATCTCTTTTTCGAAAGCTTGAAGGGCAGTGACATTTACCAGAAACTACAGGCCGGTGATGAAATATGGTAGCCACATTTCAACCCCTGAGAGCGAGGAACATTCCAAGGAATGGCGTCGATCCTCTTTCGTGTGCCCGATGTCTTATGTCAAAAAAAATTAATGATGGTATTCTAAGATCAGAAAGTGGTAACGTTTTGTGATTTCCTTGAACCAAATGCAGCCATGAATGCGATATTTCCTAATGCTGAACAAACTGGAAATTGCCCTCTGACGGGAAAGGCCTGCATTAAAAAACAAATGTGCTTGTGTGCTCCATGAAAACGCTCGCCCTCACGTGACCTTCAACATCCCGCAAAAAGCATATAACTTTCCTGTGGACCTTCACGGAACACCCAGCTTACAGTCCCAACTCGGCACTATCGGAACCAGCGGACCACTTGTTTGGTCCGCTGATGGATCTCCTACGGGGAATTCCCTTCGCCATTGACAAAGGCTTAAAGAATTATTACAATTACTGACAGACTTCTTCCAGAAGTGATGCATTCTTATTCCATTAGATGGCAGAAATGAATTGAAAACGATGAAAATTAACTGAAAGATTGTTGAAGATATCTGTACATCACTTATCCTGCTGTCTTGACGATCCAACTATTATAGTCGATTTTAAAAGTAGTTGTGGAAACGAATCGAAAAAACATCGTAGAAGATGGCTAGACACTGAAACATGAAGCTTAGCAGTAAAAACTCTCAAATGCTTCACAGGAAGTATTTTATTTTATCTTATTTTAAGATTTCAGATTTAAGTTCAAACCTAGTTTTAGGTCATGTTAGAATTATTGGCATGTTCATGGAGAGCTACCAGGTAACTTAATCCTTTTTTTAAAATCAAATTTGCTTCTGACACACGGCGTCTAAATGGATTCAACTTCAAAGAATCTGGTATACTTTTTTATTGCCACCAGGCCCTCCGGAGTACAAGGTGACTCAACAGGGCGGCGAATACATGGGAAGGAAGAATGTGACGATAAGAGGCGCTCCATGCCTGCCTTGGAGGAATATAGAAGATCATATGGAAGATCTCCTCCCGGCATTTCCAGATCCCGATCAGGTTGACGAAGACCACAACTTCTGCCGAAACCCGCATACATTCAAGAAAGACTTCATACATTACCAGGATGCGAACATTGCTCCTTGGTGTTTTTTCTCCAATGGAAACAAAACATCATGGGATTTCTGCGATATCCCATTCCCTGATCGTCGAATAGAAGTAGAAGTTGAAAGGACGGGTGTGTATCCGGAATGCCGACTGTCAGAGAAGGGGAAGGAATACGTGGGGGGTCAGAACGAGACAGAAAATGGAAAGGCTTGTGTACCGTGGGATCAGGTGTTCTATGGCATCCCCTGGGATTTTTACCCTAGAGGGGTATCTGACTATGTCATTGATTACATGGATCTAATCAGGGTGTCGACTGACCGGAATATCGGTCATAATCAATGCAGAAATCCAGGTTTGTACAGGGAGAGACCATGGTGTTTCGTCGATGACATAGACACGAAGTGGGAATACTGCGACATCCCGTTCTGCCATGATCTCAGTTAGTCCATTCCCGTCCTCCTCTGCTAGAACACCACATAGCATTTCCGTAATTGTGTGCGACGTTCACATTCCGTAAGGTATGAATATTGTGTAGGCTACCCTATCGTAATAAATATGGAAAATATCAGACTCAAGTAAAATTATATTGAACTCTTGTGTCAATGTTGGTGTTGCAATTGTCAGTCAACGACGGGAACTCAATCCTGCAACAGATCATAAGGACATAGATTAATGAGCATTCAGTGGAAGGAGATGAGCCGTGTCATCAGGACATGAAGGTTTTCCTTGTCAAAGGTAAGTTCCAAGGACTTTGGCCCAAGGGATCAAAGATAGTTGAAGATAGTGCTCGTGAAGCGGAGGTAGAGACTACGTCCATTTGTGTGATCCATGAGAGACCCACCTGGAAGTCCCAAGTGGAAAATCAATCAAAACTGGAAGACCGGCCATAACAACTGACCTTGGCCTCTTCCTCAGGCTTTAATGCTCGCGAACAGGATGACATCCTTCCTTGACTAACAGCTAGACCTTGCTCTGTCCATCCCCAAAAGAAAGAGGAAACGGCATTTCGAAGATACAGTCTCACGAGCACTGGCGTATCGGTGTTGTCATGAATGTATATGCAAGTATATGAGTGCCATATTAACTTATTAAAGCTAATTATTGACTTATTAAAGATTTATTAAAGATGAAAGCTGTATGAAGCCTTTATCATCGTATGACTTATCTTCTCCATGACTCTTCGCTCCATAGATCCACCGGAATGCAAACTGAGCGAGCGAGGAGGGGAGTATGTTGGGAAACGGAACGTCACTCTTTCGGGGTACCCTTGTCTTCATTGGCTCTTATTCCACAATGAGGAAATGCTGCAAACACAATTCTCTGATGAATTGGATGGAGGGCACGCGTTTTGCCGAAACCCAGACACTCTC